CCAACGCGGATCCAAAAAATCCGCGCGGAGCGCCAGACATTTATGTTTATGGCGATTGATCAACGTCTAACAATAAATTGTTCCTGGGCCTCAGAGGGGCGGTGGCGGTGTATAAATCGCCACCGGGGAGCAAGCGACCACACATCGCCGCCATCCCTGAGGGTACATGCGAAGTTCGTTGTCGTCGTCGTCGTCGTCGTCGTCGTCGTCGGAGGAGGAGGAGGAGGAGGAGGAGGATGAGGAGGAGGAGGAGGAATGGGAGGAGCAGGAGCAGGAGCAGGAGGAGGTGGCGGAGGCGGAGGAGGTAGGGAGGGAGGGAGGGTGTCCGTGCACGGACTCGAGGCGCAGAGAACGAGAAGGCCGTCTCGGAAGACGGTGGGGGTCGCAGAAGTCTTTCGGCCTTCGAGCAGTGTTCGGCGTCTTCGGGGGAGGGTTTGGATTAAATCGGGCCTGCCCCTCTACAGGATGAGTATCCAAAAATAGTCAAAACATATGTTGTGGACGATTTGTTTGAGTATGTTTCGAATCTTGTTCGAGTTTGTTTTGTAGTTTTAATTTTTAAGCCAAAATTCGTCTGTAGGAGAACACGCCCGACTTAAGCTTAGGAAATGATTGACGTTTCGCGTGTCCCCACCAGCCTTTGGACGCCTCCTGCGCTTTCGCTGGCGGCCGCGACACAAAAAAAAACGTATCCCCACCAACCCATCCAGAAGCAGATCGCCATGCGAATTGTCTTGATCAGGGAAGTGCGGAAGAGTGCAGTGTGTGACACGCGCCTTGGAAGCGTTTCTCGGAGGTCTCTTTGAGCCATCTTGGGCTATCTTGGGGTCCTCGCGGAGCCTCTTGGCTTGGGGCACTCCCGAGGTAGCGTCGGGGCTCTCTTGGGGCCTTCTTGGGGCCCTCTTTGGGCTCGTCGGGGGGATCTGGGAGGCCTATTGGGGCCATCTTGGCCCCCATGACTCAAAAAGAGGGGGGGGTAATAAAGTCAGCCCCGCCCTGGGAGGCTAAACAACGGCTTATTGCGGTCCTCTGTGGCGTTCTTGGGGTGCTGTAGGGCGCTCTTGGGGCCGACTTGGGGCCGTCTTGGAGCCCCCTTGGGACTCTCTTGGGCCGTCTTGGGGGTATCGTAAGGCCTCAAGAGCCCATCAGAAGCGAAAAGGCGAGAACGCAACAAGCATCGATTTTCCTCCGGTTTGGGAGCCATATTGGCCTCTTAGGGGGGTTCTTGGAGGGCTCGGAGGGCACTTGAAACCGTCTGTCGATGTTTGTCGGAAGCTATATTGAGCCATCTTGAGGTATCTTGAGCAATCTTGGAGACCATCGTGGGCTCTCTGAGACCCTCTTGGAGTCATCTTGGGCCATCGTGGACGCTCTAACCCCTCCGTCCCACCCCCCATCCCAGGCCCAGGGAAGGGGTAGGGGGACGGGTCAGGCTACCCACCCGCCCGCAAGCCGTCTAGCTCACTCCCACCCGCCCTCCCAACACATAAGTAACACCCGATCCTGAGCATGTTCAGCGGTCGTCTTTGGATGAGCAGCTACTGGGAAGGCCGGGCCCCAGGGGGAGGGGTTTGGGGAGGGGGAAGCGTCTCACACGCCGATGACCCCAAGGGGTCGGCGGATTTTGTCCCAAAGTGTACCTTGCATTGCTTTTTGATAGGGATGGTGAGGGGGGCCGCATCGGGTTGGCCGCGCATGCTCCAAATGTGGAGGCAGAGTGCGGCTTGTATTGTTTTTTACAGGGATGGTGGGGGGCTGTCCCGCATGGAGTCGGCATGGTTCCGGGTTGGCCGCCGGCCAGGTGGGGGAGGGGGTGTATACTAATAAGGAGCAGTGATATTTCTTTCCCCCGAGCAGGGGAAGGAGGTGTTTTGGCAGCTCGTTAAACCACCTGCGCCCAGAGGGCTGGTGGGACTTCAGAGGAGGCCAGGAAGCTTCCGAGACTTCTGAGAAGGCCCGCCCCTTCGCACTTCCCCCCTGGACCGGCCCACCAAGCGATGGAATCGCTTCGCTCAGTCCGCCGGGCCGGCCCAGACGACGATGACGTCGACGTCGACGTCGTCGACGACGACGACGAGGACGAGGACGAGGACGACGACGACGACGACGACGACGACGACGACGACGACGACGACGACTTCTGCCCAGCGCGGGGCTCGGGAGCGCGGGCGGCCGCGGTGCGAGGGAGGCGCAGGGCCTGCCTCGGCCAGCGGGGCGGCGCCATGCCGGGAGAGCCTCCTCCTCGCTTCGCTTCGCGTGGGCGCCGCCTGCTGGGTGGGGCGATCCACGAGCGTCGACTAGACGTAAGAGTGACCTTTCGCCGGAGTGACCTCTGGTGCGGGCACAGATGGGTCCCCAGGTGGCCGAACACGAAGCAGTAGTAGGAATTGCTTGCGCGCCCGGGTTTGGTCCCCCCGCGGCCCCCCAGAAAGCCGCGCACCAAAGGTCACTCTTACCCAGGGTCACTCTTACGTGTAGCCGATCGGTTCGCTCGGGCGCTGCCTGCTGGGTGGGGCGATCCACGAGTGGTGGCGGGTGACTGTTCCACCACCGCTGCCAGAAGTGGCACGGGGGAGAAGGGGCGGATGGGGAGGTCCTCCTCCTCCTCCTCCTCCTTGTCTTCCCTCTCCTCCTCTTTGTCCTCCTTCTCCTACCTATTGCAGTGGTGATGGAACATCGGCCCATCATGTGGGGGAAAACATTAGACACATATCGGGTCCTGAAGGCCCCCTTCTGGGGGCCCTCAAGGGCCCCTTTCGGGGCTCGAGAGGGCCTCTTCTCTTCTTGGCAGCCTTCGCTGCCCCCGCATGTATCGCCCTCTCCACTACGCGACGCCCAATTCGCTCCCTCCGCCTGCCCAAACTACTCCATCGCGAATTTTTTTCCGCGTGTGCGGGTGGCGGCACAGTCACCCCGCAAAGTAAGGATGAGCCATCTTTCCAAGGTTGCCCTTGCATCCTTCTTCTTCGGCTCATTCTTCGCCGCTCGCAAAATGTCGACATGGCCTACCCTTCTCGCGCGTCCTTGCTATACCGGTTGTCTGCAGGTTCCCTGATGGCTTTTCATGTCCCGCCACGTGGGCCCCTCTTCGACCCCCCCCTTGAGACCCGCGTGGGCCGTCTCGGGACCCGTTTCGGGGCGAAGCGCTCCGACCTGCCTACATGCCCACCGCATACGTGTCTGAGAAGATGGATGTGGCCTGCGCCACATGCTCCTCGGGACACGCCTGGCCGAGGCAGCCCTGCTCCAGTGCATCGCCGCCGTGCTGCCCCAGGAGCACGGCTTCTGCGCTCGGCCCGCTCCCGGCATTCCGAGGGCCTGCCGTGGCAGGCCTGCACAAGAGGATGCCGGGCCGGTCGGGGCCCCTGCCGCCGTCGGGGGGGGGGCGGCGGGGGCCGCCAGAGGAGGCGGGGGCGGGGGGGCCCGACGTCTGGGGAGCGCCCCGCTCCCGGCGCCGCCCCCTCCCCCCCCCCTCCGCTGCCCCGCCCTGCACCCCCCCGCTCCGCCTCCCGATCCTCCGCTTGGCCCCAGTCTCTCCGCCTCCCCCCCCTGCCCCCCCGCTGGCATCGCTTGGACGTGTGCATTTTTTTTCTCGGCGGGAAACCACGCGGACCATCCTGGACCGTCCAGGAAACAATTAACACGCGCGAAACCGAAACCGAAACATGCACGGGAAATGGACGCCCGAGCGACGGCACGCCCCGCTCCTCCCTCCTCCCCCGCTTCCCGCCCGCGGCCCGTCGCTCGCCGCACCCGTGTGCCTGCTCCGCGCCTCCTCCCCCTCCCCTCGCCACGCCTCCTCCTCCCCCCCTCCTGCCCCCGCGCCGCGGAGGAGGAGGAGGACTTGGCACCGCTCGGACGTGTGCATTCTTACTTCGGCGAGGACCATCGAGGAGCATCCTTGATCATTGGGCGAAAAGTCGCGCACGAAGCCGAAGAAAGCACAGTGGATGGACGTCCGAGCGATGGCGAGAGGACGGGGTACGGTACTTACCGACGGGTTGTCGAAGCGGGGGCCCGATTGCGAGCGATTGCTTGGAATGCTTCGCGAATTCCAGGGCGGAGCGCGCTCCAGGGGCGAATCTTATGCTGGGTTTGATCCTTCGGTTCTCAAAAGCTATTGCTCGTCGCTCGCCGTCCACCGCGCCAACCCGCAGAGGTTAAGAAGGTCACAAGCCTGAAGAACGCGCTCGAGAGCTTCGTGTGACGCCGACGCGGAGGGGCTTGTGTGTGTGGTTGCGCGTGTGAGAGTGAGAGTGTGTGTGTGTGTGCGCGTGTGTGTGCGCGTGTGTGTGTGTGTGTGTGTGTGCGCGTGTGAGTGTGCGTGTGCGTGTGCGTATGCGTGTGCGCGTGCGTGTGCGAGGGTGCGTGCGTGTGCGAGGGTGCGCGTGTGTGTGTGTGTGTGTGTGTGTGTGTGTGTGTGGTGTGTGTGTGTCTGTGCGTGTGCGAATGTGCGTGTGTGTGTGTGTGTGTGTGCGTGTGTGTGTGTGTGTGTGTGCGTGTGTGTAACTCTTTCGTGAGTCGCGGACGTTGGCGTCGCTGGGTCGTTCTTGCATTTTTTTGCTGGGGAGACGTAAGACTTGAGTACACCATAATTCGGGTTTAGCGACGCTTTTCGACGAGCGCGTTCTGGATGTTGACGGTCCAATTGTGCCATTGTCATTTTCATGATGGCCCTGTCAGGCCAACCCGAATCCCCCGGACCCGAGTCTTAAGTCTCCCCGATGTTGGCGATGCGTCCGTACTCCGCTGCATGTCATGTTCCTCGTGAAATTGGCTCTGGTCCGCATTTCACGCGTCAACCACGCCCTGACCATCCACCAGCCAAGATCCGGCAGCAGTTGATCTAGGCGTGCCCCGCCCTAGAACTCCACAGCTCCACTTGCCGCCACTCTCCCCCGTCTGCCCTTCTCTCCCCCCCCCTCGCGGCCCCCCGCGAGTGACCCTGTCGATCCCCTACGGGCGGATCCCTGGCCCCTGCGCTGCGTGACCTGGCCCGGCCGCGCGCGTTCCCCTGCTCGACTGCCCACGCCGCGTTGCCGCGCGCGCGGCCGCAGCGCCACGAGGGGGTGGTCACGTGTGTGTGTGTGTGTGTGGTGTGTGTGTGTGCGTGTGTGTGTGTGTGTGTGTGTGTGTGACTGCGTGCTTGCACGGCTGTGTTTGCGTTGGGGGAGTGACCCAGGGCTCTTCCCACTCACCCGAGCTCTTATCGCTCACAGCATCGGAGTGGCAGGGAAGGTATCTGTCCTCATGGCCTCTGGCCCATGCCGCCACCGTGCCTACGTCTATGGACACCAGCGTTTATTACCCCGGGGCCCTCTTGGGCTCGAGAACGCCACGCGAGAAGGCGCGCCTGCGCCCTGGAGGCACGCCGGGAGCCCCGTGAGGTGTCGGAATCTGGAGTCCGAGCCGTTTATTCATTTAATCCTGATGACTGAGGACTACACAGGACGCCTCCGCCTCCTCCTCCTCCTCCTCCTCCTTGGCACGGTGGCGGGAATGGAGGACGGCTGCGTCCAGTTCGGGTCTCGCTGTTCGGCCCACTCCGGCCTGACGCACTCTTGCGCCGTCGCAGCCCCACCCCTCCCCGAGGACGAGAGCTCCGCTCGTCCCTCCTCCCCCCCTGCCGCGTCGACCGAGGGCGGCCGGACGCTGGAGCGTTCTGACCGCAGAGAGTAGGAGGAGGAGGAGGAGGAGGAGGAGGAGGAGGAGGAGGAGGAGGAGGAGGAGGAGAGGGAAGAAGAAGAAGAAGAAGAAGAATAAGAATAATAATAAGAATAAGAATAAGAAGAAGAAGAAGAAGAAAAAGAAGAAGAATAATAAGAAGAGGAAGAGGAGGAGGAGAGGAGGAGGAGGAGGAGGAGGAGGAGGAGGAGGAGGAGGAAGAAGAGGGGGGGGGAGGGGAGGAGGAGTGAGGAGGAGGAGGAGGAGGAGGAGGAGGAGGAGGAGAGGAGGGAGGAGGAGGAGGAGGAGGGGAGGAGGAGGAGGAGGAGGAGGAGGAGGAGAGGAGGAGGAGGAGGAGGAGGAGGAGGCGGAGGAGGAGGAGGAGGAGGAGGAGGAGGAGGAGGATGAGGAGGAGGAGGAGGAGCGAGGAGGAGGAGGAGTAGGAGGAGGAGGAGGAGGAGGAGGAGGAGGAGGAGGAGGAGGAGAGGAGGGGAGGAGGAGGAGGAGGAGGAGGAGGAGGAGGAGGAGGAGGAGGAGGAAGAGGAGGAGGAGGGGAGGAGGAGGAGGAGGAGGGGAGGAGGGGGGAGGAGGAGGAGGAGGAGGAAAGAAGAGAAGAAGAAGAATAATAAGAATAAGAAGAAGAAGAGAAGAAGAAGAAGCAGCAGAAGAAGAATAAGAAGAAGAGGAAGAGGAGGAGGAGGAGGAGGAGGAGGAGGAGGAGGAGGAGGAGGAGGAGGAGGAAGAAGAGGGGGGGAGGAGGAGGAGGAGGAGAGGAGGAGGCGGGGAGGAGGAGGAGGAGGCAGAGGCGGAGGAGGAGGAGGAGGAGGGAGGAGTGCGGAGGGGAGGAGGAGGAGGAGGAAGAGGAGGAGGAGGAGGAGGAGGGAGAGGAGGAGGAGGAGGAGGGGGAGGAGGAGGGGAGGAGGAGAAGGAGGAGTGAGGAGGAAGAAGAAGAGAAGAAGAAGAGAGGAGGAGGAGGAGGAGGAGGAGGAGGAGGAGGGGGTGGGGGTGGGGGTGGGGGTGGGGGTGGAGGTGGAGGTGGATGTGGAGGTGGAGGAGATGGCGTCCTGAATCCCGAGGATTTTCGCCGTTGTCGGTCCCCCGCGGCCCCAAGAACGTCAACAGAAGCGGCCACAGCTGACTCGACTGCTTTAGCTTTGACTGCCCCAATCGCTTCGACTCGACGGATCGTTACATCTCGGCGGCGAGCGAGGGGGGTCAGTGAGAAGAAGAATTACCCTGGCGACGTACCCAACCCCTGCGCAATGCGGGGCATGAGTTGCTTGGGAGACGTTATACGGAAGTGATGACGTGACATGGGCTCATATGTTCCTGCGAGCGGCATTCGTGAGGCTCGCAGCTCTTCAAGGATTGCGAGGTCCCGCTCAGATCTGCGTGGTGCCTCACTCCGCTGGACCCGACACCAGCCTTTGAAAATAGCGGCAGTTTCGCAGATCGCAGCCTCGCAGGGACGGCGAGGTCCCTCTCAGATCTGCGCGGTGCCTCACTCCGCTGGACCCACCAGCAGCCCTCGAAAGTGGCGACAGTTTCGCAGATCGCAGCGCCCCCGGGACGGCGAGGTCCCGCTCTGATCTGCGCGGTGCCTCACTCCGCTGGACGCCCTCGAAAGTGGTGACAGTTTCGCAGATCGCCAGGCTGGCCCCCCAAGCAGCCCTCGAAAGTGGCGACAGATCGCAGCCCCCCAGGGACGGCGAGGTCCCGCTCAGATCTGCGTGGTGCCTCACTCCGCTGGACCCACCCCACCAGCAGCCCTCGACAGTGGTGACAGTTTCGCAGATCGCAGCCCCCCAGGGACGAGGTCCCGCTCAGATCTGCGCGGTGCCTCACCCCGCTGGACCCACCAGCAGCTCTCGAAAGTGGTGACAGTTTCGCAGATTGCCATGCTGGCCCCCCAGGCAGCCCTCGACAGTGGCGACAGTTTCGCAGATCGCAGCCCCCCAGGGACGGCGATGTCCCGCTTATATTTGCGCGGTGCCTCACTCCGCTGGACCCACCAGCAGCCTTCGAAAGTGGCAACACTTTCGCAGATCGCAGCCCCCCAGGGACGGTGAGGTCCCGTTCAGATCTGCGCGGTGCCTCACTCCGCTGGACCCACCAGCAGCCGTCGAAAGTGGAGACAGTTTCGCAGATCGCAGCCCCCAGGGACGGCGAGGTCCCGCTCAGATCTGTGTGGTGCCTCACTGCCTCTCTCCGCTGGACCCACCAGCAGCCCTCGACAGTGGCGACAGTTTCGCATGTCGCAGCCCCCCAAAGACGGCGAGGTCGCGCTCAGGTCTGCGCGGTGCCTCACTCCGCTGGACCCACCAGCAGCCCTCGAAAGTGGCGACAGTTTCGCAGATCGCAGCCCCCCAAAGAGGCGAGGGTCGCGCTGAGGTTGCGCGGTGCCTCATGCCTTCACTCCGCAGGACCCACCAGCCGCCCTGAAAGTGGCGACAGTTTCGCAGATCGCAACAGCAGCTCTCGAACAGTGGCGACAGTTTCGCAGATCGCAGCTCCCCAGGGACGGCGAGGTCCCGCTCTGATCTGCGCGGTACCTCACTCCGATGGACCCACCGGCAGCCCTCGAACGTGGCGACAGTTTCGCAGATCGCAGCCCCCCAGGGACGGCGAGGTCCCGCTCAGATTTGCGCGGTGCCTCACTCCGCTTGACCCACCAGCAGCCTTCGAAAGTGGCGACAGTTTCGCAGATCGCAGCACCCCAGGGACGGCGAGGTCCGCTCTGATCTGCGCGGTGCCTCACTCCGTTGGACCCACCAGCAGCCCTCGAAAGTGGCGACAGTTTCGCAGATCGCAGCCCCCCAGGGACGGCGAGGTCCCTCTCAGATCTGCGCGGTGCCTCACTCCGCTGGACCCACCAGCAGCCTTCGAAAGTGGCGACAGTTTCGCAGATCGCAGGCAGCCCCCCCGGGACGGCGAGGTCCCGCTCTGATCCGCGCGGTGCCTCACTCCGCTGGGCCCACCAGCAGCCCTCGAAAGTGGCGGCAGTTTTGCAGATCGCAGCCCCCCAGGGACGGCGAGGTCCCACTCTGATCCGCGCGGCGCCTCACTCCGCTGGACCCACCAGCAGCCTTCGAAAGTGGCGACAGTTTCGCAGATCGCAGCCCCCCAGGGACGGCGAGGTCCCGCTTATATCCGCGCGGTGCCTCACTCCGCAGGACCCACCAGCAGCCCTCGAAAGTGGCGACAGTTTCGCAGATCGCAGCCCCCCAGGGACGGCGAGGTCCCGCTCTGATCCGCGCGGTGCCTCACTCCGCTGGACCCACCAGCAGCCCTCGACAGTGGCGACAGTTTCGCAGATCGCAGCCCCCCAGGGACGGCGAGGTCGCGCTCAGGTCTGCGCGGTGCCTCACTCCGCAGGACCCACCAGCAGCCCTCGAAAGTGGCGACAGTTTCGCAGATCGCAGCCCCCATCGTCGGCGAAGAGAGGGCAGGAGGAGGCGGGAGGCGGGAGGAGAAGGAGGGACGCGACCACAGTGCTCTATTCAAAACGAATACCCAAAGGAGGGTTGGGATAAATACTTAGAAGACGAAGAAGAAAAAGGCCTTCTCAGAAGGCTGCGGGACTTGTCAGAAGCCCTCGCGCCTTCTGAGCAGGTCTCTGCGTTTTCATGGAAGGCTTAGAAGACTTCTAAGAAGGCAGAGGGGCTTCCGAGACTTCTGCGAAGGAGGCCTTCTCCTCCTCACTTCCCCCCCGGGCCCGCCGCCGAGTGTCGTCCGCTTCGCCCCCCTTTCCAAGTGCAACTCTCGCCCATCGAGTTCTGCTCGGCCAGACCGCGCTTTCGGCCCCGCCGTCCCGTTCAGTCGCAAGCGCCTGCAAGTTGGGGCGGCCTGCGCGACGGGGCATGGCTGCCTCCGATCCGATCCGACAGTGTTCGGTTCGCCGGTCGGGGCCGCGATGCCGACTCGGCTCGATTCGGTTCGATTGACTGGCCTCGGGAAGGGCCAGGTGGGGTTAGGCGTGGAAATGCGATTTCGATTCGACTCGGGCAGAATTGCTGGCGATCAAGCACACACACACACACACACGCACGCACGCACGCACACACGCACGCACGCACGCACGCACACAAACACACACACACTCACTCACTCACACTCATACTCTCACACACACAAACAACACACAACACACAACACACAACACACAACACACAACACACACACAACACACAACACACACAACACACACACACACACACAACACACACAACACACAACACACACACAAACACGGTTGACCTGACAACATACAGAGCATCATGTACCCCAGTCAGCAACAGCCGCAGAGGCCCCCTTGAATCCAATCGAGTTGGCCGTGTGCTTCATGGCGCGCACCTTGGGGATGGTGTTACCCCACCCTGACGGTCGGATGTCCTGGCGGTGGCAGCCGGCGTATGATGGCAGCTGCGATCTTGAATACGAGTGGGAGCAGCAGGGGATTTTCGGACGCAGGGAGGATGGACGGGAGGAAGTCGCCTACGGGCGAGGGTCCCCATCGGGGGCGGCAAAACTAATGAGGTATGGGCAGGCATAGCAAAGAAGAAGGGAACCAGCGTCAGTTGGCAGAAACGCTGAGCGGGTGCGCTCTCTGAGCGAAAGGAGTCAGCCGAACTGGAGTGGATATCTGCAGGTACGAGGGCAGGGAGAAGCTCCGGGAGGACCAGGGTTGGCTGGAGGTCAGCACCGAGGCAAGGCCGCAGCTCTTGCCTCGTGGTTATTTTGTGCTTGCAGCTATTGCTTTCCAGTCGGAGAAGGCCGAGGAAGAGGAGGATGAGGACATAGACACCAGCCATCACTAACGGACCTGCCTTCAGCATCGAGCCCTGTGTTGGAGGAGGAGGAAGCGGAGGAGGAGGAGGAGGAGGAGGAGGAGGAGGAGGAGGAGGAGGAGAAGGCGGACGGCATCCCCCCTCGTTCCTCCTTGCCTTTGATTCAAACGCTTATGTTTTTCGCTCTTCCGTTCCCTTCCCTCTCCCCGATCTGCCCTTCCTGCCTAGTCCGCCTCCGCACGGAGGGTCCGGGCGAGCCCCAAGCCAGGTCCTGGAAGGGTGACCAGACTAGGGCTGCATTTCAGGAGGCCTGAGACGAGGACAAATCGCTCCAGAGCGTTCTGATCTTTACCGTTTTTGCTGGGAGGGCTTTGGGGACGTGGCCTCAATACGTTCCCCAATCGTATTGAACGTGTTCAAGCCGCTGGTAATGATGTTGTCTACTTGTTCGATCATCTGGAATATTACCATACATAGGTTCATGCCCGCTGGCGCGTCTGGCGACATGCTTCCGATATCGAAGCGATTAGAATTATCGTGGAGAGTGCTTTGGGTAACCCTGGCATTCGGCTTGCTCGGCGCTCTGCGCTTTCTCTTTGGCCTGTCCTCCAAATTCGCACCGCTGCAGTGCCACTACTGGTGCGACCCTGGCCGGCTGCGTTGTGAAGCTTTCTCTTCGGGCTTGCACGGCGGCGGCACCAGTTTTGCACCGAAGGGTGGTACGTGTCATCTGTAGTTTCTCACCACCCACCAAACCATCCCAACCCAACCCGAAGGCCTCAATTTATCCTCGATTTCCAGTGGGGGGGGGTCGGGGAACGTTGAGAAAACACATGGGAATCCGTACCCCCCCCAACCCGAAATTCGGGTCAAATTCGGGTCTTCGGGTTGGGTTGGGGTGGTCTGGTAGGTAGTCAGTTTCATAGTTTCCCAACCCCGGGCGCGGTCACAGGCAGGTTGAGCGGGGCCTTCACATCTCGTCTGCAGCTTGCCTGCGCGGTGCCCCTTCTTTCGTCCGTGGGCGGCGCGGTCGGCGCCCCAGGTCAACCCCCCCGACTGTACAGAGACAAGGCAACATGGAGTCACACGGGCCCAGCCGAACAAGGGCGCGGCAAGAAGAATGATGGGAGGAGGCAGGCAGGAGAGGAATGCTCGAGTAGGAAAAACACGGCATACGCATGAACTGTTGGCGCTCCGCGCGGACTTCTTGGATCCGCGTCGGGCCCCCCGGCAGCGCTTCCCGCGCCGTCTTTGGCGCGCTCCGCGCGCCAGGGAGGGCGGTCCAGCGCGCAGATCCAAGAAATCCGCGCGGAGCGTCAGATTATACGCCGTGTTTCTTGTTCCACATGCATCAGTCGTACAAAGAGTCATTGTTGAAGCTGGGCGCTGAGTTGCATTGATTGGGTAGCTTTTCACATGAGTGCTTGCTCCCCGTCAATGTTGCTCTCTGGTGCTGTACTGTTGTATGCTCCCTCGGCTACCGCATTACCAGGCGGAGCGAGACGGCGTTGTCGCGAACTTGACTGCGATGGAGGATTGGCTGTATGAGGAGGACCTCAACCTGGATATGCCATGTATCCTCCACAATTCCGCTGTGTGGTTCGCATTGTGTGCATGCGCAGCCAATTGCCCATATTGGTATTGCAAGCCAGTTTTGGACACATCTGGCAGGGACATGGAACACCATTTTACGACGCATAATGGGCGAGAAATACATGTGTAGGGGGATAGAAGGAGGAGGAGGAGAAGGAGGAGGAGGAGGAGGAGGAACAAGATGAGACGGAGAGGAATGGCAGGTGGATGACATGTATTGCGCTTCCCAAGAGCGCGGGCGTAGTCGCCGAGACTGCTGAACTTGGACACGTTCGCACAGGCTCGTTGGTTCTGGGAGGCTTCAGCCTACCCTTCGTCGCGCTCAAGACTCGTAATTGGCTATGTCACAGTCCAGGAATAAATTCTGCTGAGAAGCATGCCTCCGACGCCTTTTTGCACACGGTGGGATTTGAAGTTGAAGGTGGCAGTTTCCTCGAAGCCAGCCCAGAGGTGCTTGATTCGTGCGTTCTCCTTGCTTTAGGCGAACGCGTGGGGTACTGAACGGATTCGAGGGGCTCGTACTCTTCCCCACCTCATCCCACTTCTCGCCTCCTCCATTTATCCCCCCCCTTCGTTTCCTTCCAAGTTCCGTCCTTGTCTTCCTCCTACTCCTCTCAATCCTTTGCTCTCATCACCCTCTCCACCCCTCTTCTTATGATCCTCTCCGTCCTACCTGCGCGCATTGCGTTCGCCAAGAGGCCGTTTCTCTCCAGCCCTGAGCACTGCTTTTGCCCCTGCTATTCTGAAGATGGCGCCCAGGTTGTCTGGGGAGATCATCGCCATCGTTTCAAGTGGCACTCGCAAGACATCTGACTTGCTTCAAGCTGACGCAAACACCGTAACAACTGATGTGCTTGGACGGTCCAGAGTCCGCAACAAGGAGCCCGTATAGCTTCGCCTTCCACTCATTCAGAGCGTTTTGTAGCTAGTTGTCGTTGGAGACTGGCACTGGCGATGCAAATGTGTCTTGCAAAGTTGCAGTATGCGCCGAGGCAGCTGCCGTGATGGCGTCGTGCAGGGAAGCTAACATGGACACTCCGTCCGCGCGTGCAACACCCGTCCAGTAGAGGCTTGTGTCGCCGTTGGCAGTCGCATGAGGTTCAAACGCAATGTTTCTGTTCGCTGTTCACCCAAGAAGCGTCCGAGGTGGGATCGCTAAGGGACGCAAGAACCGCCTCCGCTAACAGCTCGGCAACGCACTGCCTTTCACGCTATCCAGCAAAGCGGACAACAGGTGCTTGCCGTCATCGCCAGTGAAGCGGGCAGCAGAAAATTCGCGAGCCAAAGGCTTACGCTGCGTCCGGTGTGTTTGCCGGTGCGCCCCTTTGTGCTGGTCCGCGTTGTGCCCGACGTTTCAGTCGGACGTGGCGCAGCGTCGCGGTTGTCCGTGTCGGCGCGCAGAGTGTGTCAAGGTTTTCTGTTGTGGTGGTGGTGGTGGCGTCGTTGGGTGCCCACCGCGAGCTGTGCTTCATGCCTCGCGACTGCCCGTCGCAGGAGGTATGTTCGAGGGGTTCACTTGCCGCGCTCGGCTGGCAAACCCGTGCTATCCCCCCTTCCCCCCCCCCCGCCTCTCGCGGGCACCCTGAGAAGGCTATTGGGATACATGGGTGGCCAACAAGCGGGACGACATATCTGAGTGCGGAGGGCACGCACACTCAAACCATTCTGGATTATGTTCCGACCGGGTGGCCTCCTGTCGTGGGCGTCGGGGTGGGCGGCCAGGAGCTGTTAGGCTCGAGTTGTTCAGGAGCCCCGGCGAAGCCCTTGGCAGTGGCCCCCTGGTGTTCCTGGCACGTGGTGCGCCAGCGACGCGGGCTCGGGCACAGCGTGGGCTGCCCGCCAACTACAAGTGGAGATCTGCCTTGGGTACTGCACCTGCTACTTTCTCTGTGCCAGCCTCAAGGTCCAGAAACGAGTCCAGTCGTGGCAGGGTGAGAGTTGTAGGCTAGGCAACAGCAGCGCTGATCGCATGACGCTTGCGGGCACCGCTTCAACTCTCACACTTCGCCAGCTGGCGTTAGCCTCGTCCCTCGCCGTCCAACAGCAATCTTCAATCGGCTTTGCCCATTCGCCTCATCTTCCTCCTTTCCGCCTCTTTCGTTATTGCTCCTCCTCCTCCTCCTCTTCCTCCCACGCCTTCCCCGTCCTGTCCCTCCTCTTCTTCCTCCTCCTCCTCCCAGTTGGAGCACGGACAGAGAGTTGTCATAGCGTTCTTTTTGCTTCAAGGCTTTGGTCATGGGATAGCACTTCTTGCCACGAGGGCCCTGGCTGAGGGGGCGAGCCTGCGCCAGGATTCCATCGCTCCTGGGGCAAGCTGCACTCTCTTATAGACCTTCGCTCAGAAACCCGCCGCCTAGCACAAGGGGGGGGGCGGGCGCTGACAGAGGGTCCCTCGGCGGCGAGCCTGGAGGGGGGGGGAAGAAGGGGCGGGCCTTCTCAGAAGGCTCGGCAGTCCCCCGGTCTGCTGAGAGGCTTTCTAAGCCTTCCCCCAAGACACAGGCAACCTTTCAGACAGCGCGAGGGCTTCTGAGAAGTCCCGCCGCCTTCTCAGGAGGCCTGCTCCTTCTCACTTCCCCCCCTCGCTTGCCGCGGAGTCTTGGTCCACGGTGTCCCCTAGGCCTTCGCAGCCGCCTCGGAGCCCCCCCCCCTTGCGGGCCCGCCTGGGCCTCGTGGCGGGGCTTTCTGGAAGCCGCCAGGGCCTCGCCGAAAGAGCTGGGGCCACCTTGGGCTTGGACCGCTTCCCGGCAACGCCCGCGGGGCGCGGGGGCAGGAGGCGGCGGCGGCGAACGCGAGCGTCTTGCAGGCGGGGCCGCGCTCGAGACCTCCTCCAGGAGGAATTGTCTCGTCGTCGGCATCCTTCCCCCTCCTCGCCCATCCCTCCTTAAGGAGAAGTCGCCTTGTCGCACCACCAGGCGTGTCCGTAGGCCCGGCTTGGCGTTTCGCCTGAGACTTGTTAATTTTTGCTATCGCGACGCAGGGAAGGTTTTCATGTTAGCCAGCGTGGAGTCCAAACAGTGTGTGTTCCAGCATACAATGTAGCACAACATTTGTATACATATATCGGAGGTGAGGGATCGAAGTGGAACGGAGAGCCCGCCTACTGGGAAATCGGTTTCGGTTTCGTGTTCGTGCGTGCCGTGCGTGCGGGCGAGGCGAAGTTGCGTGGGCGGGCGAGAAGAAAGTCTCCTCCAGCTGAGGCGCGACTGGACCAAATGTTTCCTTTACGAGGGCTGGTGGGGCGCGGTGTCCCGCAGGTGTCCCGCCTCCGGCTGAGGCGCGGCCAGACTAAATGTTTCTTTTCCGCGGGCCGGTGGGGCGCGGTGTCCCGCCGGTGTCCCGTCGGTGTCCCGATGATGATGATGATGATGATGATGATGATGATGATGATGATGATGATGATGATGATGATGATGCTGTCGATGATGTTGATGATGATGATGGTGATGGTGGTGATGATGATGGTGCCCCGATGATGATGATGATGATGATGATGATGATGATGATGATGAAGATGTTGATGATGATGGTGATGATGATGGCCATGGTGGTGATGATGATGGTGTCCCGATGATGATGATGATGTTGATGATGCTGATGTTGCTGATGATGATGATGATGGTGATGATGATGATGATGAGTGTGTCCCGATGATGATGATGTTGATGATCATGATGATGTTGATGATGATGAGATGATGACGCTGATGCTGCTGATCATGATGAAGATCATGATGATGATGGTGTCCCGATGATGATGGTGATGATGAGGTTGATGATGATGGTGATTATGATGATGAGTGTGTCCCGATGATGATGATGATGTTGATGATGATGATGATGGTGTCCCGATGATGATGATGTTGATGATGAGGATGATGATGAGGTGATGATGATGATTTTGATTTGATGATGGTGGCCCGATGATGATGCTGGTGTTGATGATGATGATGATGGTGTCCCGATGATGATGAGCGTGATTATGATGGTGATGATGATGGTGTCCCGATGATCATGATGTTGATGATGCTGATTGTGCTGATGATGATGATGAGGATGATGGCGTCCCGATGATGATGATGATGATGTTGATGATGCTGTTCATGATGGTGATGAGATGATGATGTTGATGATGATGATGATGATGATGATTTAGATGATGATGATGGTGTTCCGATGCCGATGATGATGATGATGATGATGATGATGATGATGATGATGATGATGATGATGATGATGATGATGGTGTCCCGATGATGATGATGTGACAATGATGGTGTCCCGATGATGATGATGATGATGATGATGATGATGATGATGATGATGATGATGATGATGATGATGATGATGATGATGATGATGATGATGGTGCCCCGGTGATGATAATGATGATGCTGTTGAAGTTGATGACGATGATGTTGATGATGATGACGTTGATTGTGAGAGCGATTGTGATATCGATCGTGAGATCGACAGTGACACCGAATGTGAGATCGATTGTGAGATCGATACTGAGATCGATAGTGAGATCGATTGTGAGATCGATCGAGTGAGATCGATCGAGCGAGACCGATAGTGAGATCGATAGTGAGACCGATAGTGGGACCGATCGAGTGAGACGTTGGTTCCTCCCCCCCCGAACCTCCTTATCACCCGAAGGGTGGGCGTATAGTATATATATATATATATATACGTCTGGTGCGCAATCTGAGGGGCGCATTCTATGCAATCCAACCTGTGTGGTGAAAGCTATGTAGTGCACTATGTGTGGTGTAAGCTATGTGGTGCAGTCTATGTGGTGCAATTTTACGTGTGGCGACGGCGACAACAAGCGCGGCTACCGACACCCAGGCGCAATGGAGCGGCGACGGATGGCGGCGACGGGTGGCGACGGCGACAAGAAGCGCGGCGACCGACGCCCGGATCCAGAAGCAGCGGCGACGGAGGGCGGCGACGGACGGCGGCGACGGACGGCGACGGCGGCACAGAATTGGCCAGAGCGACGTCCCGGCCCAGATCCCTCCTCTAGACCGAGTCAGAACCCCCAAGTACCAGCACTGGCTTTCAGTCGGGCCTGTCCCTCTACAGGGGGATTTTCGACGAAAAATAAAAGGTACCCACAAAATAGCCAAACAATTGTCCAAAGATAGTCTGGGGACTGTTTTTGTTGGTATTGTTTGCCTTTTTGGGGCATTTGTGGGGTATTTTTTATTTTTCGTCGAAAATCCCCCTGTAGGGGGACACGCCCGACATAAAACTGGCATAGAGATCGCTTTGGCCCCGCGCGCATCCGCCGGTAAGCTCCAGCGGCTGAAGGGATGGCTGCCGCTGCGCTTCCAAGATCCGGCTCTCGCCCCGGCGCCGCGCAGACGGAGGAGGAGGAGGAGGAGGAGAAGGAGGAGGACGAGGACGAGGACGAAGACGAGGACGAGGACGAGGACGAGGACGAGGAGGAGGAGGAGGAGGAGGAGGAGGAGGAGGAAGGATGAGGAGAGGAGGGAGGGAGGAGGAGGAGGAGGAGGAGGAGGAGGGAGGAGGAGGGGAGGAGGAGGAGGAGGAGGAGGAGGAGGAGGAGGAGGAGGAGGAGGTCCGTAGCCATTTTGGCTCAAGTCCGGAGCCGTTTTGGCACAGGACCTGGCCTTACTGGCAAGGGGGAGCAGCGGCCCCCACAATTTCGCCCCTCGTTTGCCTGGCCAGACGAGGTCATTCTTCGCGTTTTTTGATCCACTCGGGCAGGGGCCACCTCAGAGCCCAGCTTCCCGCGCCCGCGAGGGCAGCTCATGGCCCAGGAGGGCGGCCGCGCGTCGCCTGATGTGGGTTGGCCTCCTGCTCGCTGGAGCCGTCGTGCAAGGCGTTGGGGTGGGTCCTATCCGTGGCGGGAACATCAACAGTCCGTACCCAGTGGCAAAGACGAAGGTGATTGGTACACCTCAAGTGGCAACAAGCTCAAGATGGTCACCTGCCTGTCCTGTGGTTGCAGTAAGAATACCTGGGGCTCCCTATGCTGTAAGCATTGTGGATCAAGCCTCACCAAGAAGACCACCCCAGTACGGTTTGGTGCGGGCACAAACGGGGCTGGCCAACAAGACAACGCAGGCAAGGGCAAGAAAGGGAAAGGCAAAGGTCGAGATGAACGGCCAGATGGCGCACTACCTCCAGGCCCCCTCCCGAACATGGACATGGATAAGGCACGGAACCTGGCGCAGCTGGCGGAGGAAGCAGGTGATGTGGAGGGGGCCAAACGTTACCATGCCTTGGCTACCCGTGGACCGCCTGCTCCATCGGCACCTACTGCGAGGCAAAGGTGGCAGAAAGCAGAGGCTCTCCAAGCACAGCTCGAGAAGAAACTCCACAGCGAGTACGAGAAGCTCGAGCGTTGGAGAGTCGCCACACTGGACCTGGAGAATCACATCGCCAACATGGCAAAGCAACTTCATGAGGCTGATGAGGAGGTCACCAAAGCGCTGGCTGAGATCCAGACCTCGGTGGGCAGGCAGCCAGACGGACCACTGCGCCCTGCCCAAGTCAGCATCAGGGAAGTGGTTGAAGGAAGGGTGGACCTCAAAGACGTCTTCACCATGGGCGACTTCCTGGGAATCTCAGACGTGGTGGCCTCTTATGAATTGGATGAACAAGACATCAAAGAGCTGGAGCGTCGCAAGGCGGAGGCCTCAGACAGTATCCAGACCCACCTTGCCAACATTTTCAAGGGAGCTCTGGAGCAGGCCACCAAGGCCAAAGACGCACATCGCGAGCATGTCAAGAGGTTGGAAGGGAAGAAGCGCAAGGTGGACGAAGGTACATCAGCAGCTGGTGGCCATGGAGGGGCCCGCCCACCAGCGCAACCTGAACAATGTGATGAACAAATGCCTGCCACTGCGAAGTCGGGCTCTTCCACCAACCCCATCAAGAACATCCGCGAGAAGATTGCTGGAGATCGAGGACTACGACATGCTGCTGAGTCACAGGCCACACGACAGGGCCTTTAGCCGAAGTGAGGATGTTCAGGGCTGGGTGCGCAGGGATTCAGCCCCTGGTCGTCACAGCACCCAGCCCACATGGAGTACGACGGGAGCAACTCCACCTACGCCAGGGACCTCGTCATGGCCGAGGACCAGGCCGAGAAACCCGACGAAGGCGAAGCAAGCCCAGACCCAGAGTGACCCCGACTACGTCGGAGCGCGTCCTCGGCTGGGCTTTCCGCTGGAGGGGACTCGGCCGCCACGATCGTCGTCGCCAATTACCACATGTGGATCGACTGGGCTCTCGACCTCTACATCTACAGGGCCGACGACAAGGAGTGCGCCTGCCCCATCGGGTACATGCGATGGCCCGCCTCAACTCCTGGTGGGCCTCCCGTCCAAACCCTTTGCTGGATTTGAGTCAAGTCAGAACGCAGCTGCCAGGTGCTCCTCGAACCTGGCAGCACATGGTCATCATGAAGGCTCGTCTCAACGGATTGGGACGAGCACCCCGTCCAAACATTTTGCTGGATCTGGGAAAGGTCAGAACGCAAACCCCTATGGGGGACAACGTCGCCACTGGCGTGACCCACCGTCCAGGGGGCCAGGGTTGGACCACGATCGCCCTGGCCCACCTCATGTGGCGGTGGGCGGGTCAGGTTTTGCTGGATCGAAACGTGTACGGAATGGCGACTACAGATTAGACATCAAAGGTGACAAGACCCCGTCGTCGGAGGACTTAGTATGCTGTCTATCTGCTTGGGAGAAGATGATGAGGACAAACTCTGGTGAAGCAGTGCCTGGGATCAAACAGTGTTGGGCCCAGTTGCGTGAAAAGCTCCAAG